CAACACTTGAGGCAAGAACGCGATAAGCTTGGAATAAGAATGTTAGGGCAGTTGAGGATTTTCCCCCAATTTTGATACTCCAGGGGCCATGAGGGAGAGTTTCATACCCAAAGTTTGAGGCTGCTACTAGAAAAACAAATATTTCGCTTTTCAGGAAGATGTCCTTCTGCACAGAGACTTGGAGTTGTGCTGATAGAGTACATCTCGGGTCCTCAGCAACCAGTCACGTGCACAACAGAGTTTCAGTAGAGTTGGTCATGTATACTGCTTTCTTCAGTTATCACCTTGGCAGGGGACCACTGTTACTCCCCCTATTTTAGGGGTGAAAAATTATGGCTCAGAGAGATTCAGTAATTTTCCTACCGACCCACAGCTAGGATACTGGGAGTCAGAATCTGAACCCAAGTCTACCCTATGGCTTGTGTACTCTACAGTATTTCGAAAGACTCCTCCCAGACCCCAGCCCAAGAAGAACAGTCAGACAGCTCTGCTATTGGTCATGTGAAAGTCACCTAGCATTTGTCAAATGCTCCCTCGTACGTCGTGAGAGTCAGAATTCTCATGTGCTCTCTTGACTTCACCTTTGCACACTTTCCACTCCATCTCATTGCCTTTCCTATAAAAATACGTGCATGTGATTTATGATACCCTGACCGTGTGCCAAGCACTGTGCTACCAGCTCTACTTGCCTTCACGCTCACTGATTGAATTTAATTGATTCCGATTATATCTGTCTGCTATGCTAGAACATAAATTCCTGGAGGTCAGGAAAAAACCACGTCTGTTGTGATCACCTGGGGGATCCCCAGTGGCCACTGTAGGACTTGCACACAGTGAGCACCCAAGAAATCAGCCAAATGAGAGTAATTCCTACAGCCACACTCCAAAGCACGGAAGTTGATGTCATCTGCAGTTTACATCTGGGGCTTAGAGAGGAGCCGTGCCTGAATTCCATGAAGGCTCCCTTATGTTATGTAAAAGGTACATGAGCTGTCAAAGCACATTCTTTCGCATCATCCCGCCTTGTTTTCACAAGCCACTCTTGGAAGTTATATCTGCTTTAATGTCAGAGCAGAATCTGAGAAGAAACTATAAAGCAGTTCCTTTTATTCAAGGACCAAAAAAAGACAAAGAAAAAACAAGGTATTTGAGAAAAGAAGCAATAGGGACCATGACTTGAGACCAAAGGATGAAGTGGCATCTCAGGTTTCTGCTCCCAAACGAGGCACTCGATCGCTCCACTCAGTCAGACAGGCCCATCTGCGGGGAACCCGAGCACTCACAGTCTGTGTTACCATCAGTTAGCACCCCGTAAACATCAGGGTCGCCTGGGCAGGCCCCTTCCATTAAAACATGTAAGAGCTCACAACCCGGCTTGTAAAGGGCTGGTGGAGGGGTGCCCAGCCACCAGGCAACCTCAGCTTCATGCCAGGAGAGCAGGTCTAGTGGAAACTGGCAAGGAAATGGGGTGTGTGGATAGACAGATGCAGGGAGGGTGACCAAGTGTCAGGAAAATCTGTGTAGAGGATCTCGTTTCATTTCACAGATACCCAGGGTCTGGCTTGAATGTAACAAAGGGTAAGCAGCAGGGCCAGACATGGGCAGGGGATCTGCTGAGAGAGCCAGGAGTTTCCCTCAAAGGAAAGCCGACCATGGTATGTGCGTGTTCCTCGCCCCTTCTGAGGCTCAGCATCCTTAACTGTAAAAGGCCTCTTGAAGCGTTGTTCTGAGGATTATCAAAACAAGGACAAAAACACGAGATGACCATGTGGCCTTGTAGAAGGACCTTCTACTATCTGGGTCTCAGTATCCTCACCTCTAAGAGGAGTAAGAGCCTGGTGTTTTCACAACCTTGTGATGATATTTAAATGAGAAATTGTACTTGAATAATGCCTTATAAACTATAAAACCTGATATAAGCATTACTTAAGCCAAAAATGGCTTTCTCAAATATTGCCCCATTTGCTCTGACTCGACCCTGTGAAATTGGTGAGGTGGGATTATTATCCCCACTTCACAGAAATGGGAAGCAAGGCTCACTGCATTGCACAACTTGCCACTTGCATGTTACCTGGGCACTGAGTGGCTAAGCCATGGGTAGATAACAAATCTGTCTGGTCCTAAGCTTTGTGGTTCTTTTAATCTATTGTCCATAAGCAGACATGAGTAACTGCTGCACTTTATTTGGCTATTATTTGGAATGCCAATAATAGTTTGTGCTTTAATTAGGACTATGATCTCCTGGGGGGCAGAGCATGTATCTTACTGACCTCTGTATTTCTAGCACTAGGTACAGTCTCTGGCATATAGTGGGCATGTGTGTATATATTAAGAAGAATAAATGAATCCATATCAATTTATTAATGCCTAATAAATTATCAGACCCTAAGCACTTTTGGAAGGACGCGCCATCATAAGCCCCATTTACAGAGGAAGAAAAGGAAGCTCAGAGCACATAGCTGGCAGAACTGAGATTTGAGGTCATGTCTGAGTCCAAGTCTTCCTGTCTTTCATCTACACTGTCTCTGGGTTAACTAATAAAAGAATGCAGTACCTATTAGCTAAGACCCAAAGTCTAAAAGTCACTCCTGGGGAGGCCTGCGCCCATAATCTCCGTGTGCACTGCTGCCTGAAAACCCCCAGCTTTGGCCCCACAGCTGTCACTCTCCGGGCTCACACCTCCGTGAATAGAAGTGCTGTTTGCTGTTTTCTTTCACACCGTAAACTGCCACCTAGAAAAAGTGCTGAATAAACCCCCTAACAAATACCAAGTTGGTCTTCTCTCCCGAGGCTCTCAGGGGAAAGCTCTAGCCCTGAGCCCAGGCGCCCTCCAGAGTCACCATTGCCCTTTCAGTGTTGGGCAGAAGAAACAGGAATTTCAGAGAGAGGACCCAGGGAAGCCTAGGCCCGGTGATTGTCATTCTTTATCTTGAGGAAAGCCCAAGATGATCCCTTGGAGAGAGAAGAGGAGGGAGTTTGAACAACACCCAGGGCCCTGCTACATGCAGTGACACTGAGCTCCCCAGACTCAGCCTCCGGAGGCACATTAGGGCAGGTCACCAGAGAGAAGCAGACAGGCCGAGGGCTGTGCATGAATGTTTCCCTTCCCAGGCATCTGTAGCCCTGGTCACACCCTGATCCAGCCATTATCCAAGGAACCTCAAGGAGGAGTCTATTCTGTGCCATGACCTGTGGGATAGACAGACACAAAAACACCCTACTATGTAAAGTGGGAAGGAAAGGAATAAGAAAGTAACCACAGGGGGAAGCACAAGAGGCTTCTCAGAGGAGGGGGACAGTTAAGCCCAGTCTTAGGGGTGGAGTATGCTGTGCAGCAGGAAGATGCCGCATCGCAGAATCCCCCAGTCTGGAGTCTGAAGAGCAATAGATGAGGAAACTGACACCAGGAGAGAGGAAGCGAACTTCCCAAGGTCCTTAGACCCCCGGTCCAAAGCTCACCTTCCCACCCTCACCTGAAGGAAAGCTTCTTGGAGTTCTTGATCTTTGCCATGCCCTTAGTCTTCTACTTCACTGAGTGCTCCCTGCAACCTGCTCAGGTCAGCAGAGGGCTGCTCTATGGCAGCATCCCCCTGCCCCTGCCCCCAGACTAGGAACTGTGGCTCAGTAAAGTCCAGGGACCTGCCTCAGGTCACACGGCTCAGAAACTCCAGAGCCTGCTGCAGAACCCAGGTCCTCAGCACCAGGTCAGAGGTATCACTACCCGCCTTACAGGTGAGAAACCGGATGTGGTCCTGCACATAGTGGGTGGGGTGCTTGGCAGGGTGTGGAGCATAGGAATACGCCACGAATGGCATGCATGTTTCAATCCGAAACATTTCATCCCTTGTCTTCTTAGATTGGCAGGAAGGTCTGAACTTCTGAGACCTAATTTTGTTTTCTTTTCTCTTTCAAAATTAGCTAGAGTATTAGCAGCTTCTAACCCAGGAGTGCAGCTTGGAAGGGAAGAATGGGCAAATGCAACTTGATAGAAGTGCCAGCTAATTTAGTTTGAAAGAAATGAAAAGAGTTGGGATTTTCACATGAATTTGAAGAATGTTGGGTCACGAGGCGTAAAAATCCAAGTCAGGTTCTCCACCAGAGCCTTGGCAGAAGGCGTCAGTGGACACGGTTGCTCAGCCTGCTTCCTAAAGAGCGGTTGCATTTTGGAAGCCTTGGCCACCTCTGCCTGCAACAGGCGTGAAGCTGTTGCTGGCCTGGAGCCCGTGGGTCTTGTGAATCCGGCCCTGTGTGTTTTGCACCATCTCACAGGCAAGCCTTTGTGAAGGGTGGGCAACCCCACTCTGGCTGTGAAGTGGCCCCCCCAGCTGTTTGCTTTGGATCCGAAAGCCTGTTTAAATGGTACTTGGAATTGGGGTGAGTAAGCAGGACGCTGGAGGACAGAGAATAAACCCAGCAAAGCACAGAACACACTCACTACCCTGCAGGTTTGGACAACAAGCCACAGCGTACCTGTAGGGTGGAGAATCCTGCCTCTGCCGCTGCTCCCCGCCCTCCTCAATGAGCATGGAGCTCTAATGAAATGGCAGGCTCCGAACTCACTGCCCGGCCAGACCCACAACTTCATTTGGCGACAGGGACTCATCCTCACTTTGTTTTCACACATAACTGGTTTTTAATTAAATTTGACTTTCCCTCACATCTGTTCAGATGGCCGGTCCCCTTTGGAAGTGGCAAGCACAAAAGCAGGGACAGGCTGGCAGTAGGGAGAGCACAGGGAGCAGAGGAGCCTTTCAATCCTTCTGTTTGGGTAGGGAAGCGGGCGCTGGCCAGGCTTTTTGCCCAGAGAATTGTTCTCATCCGAAGGTCATTGTCCACGGAGATTAGTCTCCCAAGCCTTGGGAATCCTGATCTCCCACAGAAGCCTAGGTAAGTAGCCAAGTGTGACCCTCGTGCCCAACAATAACCTTCCCCCTGCTCTTTTCTCTCTCCTCCCTCCCCACCTCCCTCGCCACTCCCTCCCTCTCCCCCACCCCCCACAGAGATCTGCACGGCTGACTGTGGAGGCCACGGAGTCTGCGCAGGAGGCACCTGCCGCTGCGAGGACGGCTGGATGGGGGCGGCCTGCGACCAGCGGGCCTGCCACCCGCGCTGTGCCGAGCACGGGACCTGCCGCGACGGCAAGTGCGAGTGCAGCCCCGGCTGGAACGGCGAGCACTGCACCATCGGTATGGCGGGCCCAGGGTACCTCCTCGGGTCTGCAGGACACCTCCGTCGTTCGGGGGCACTTCGGGGCCAGCCTGAGCCCCCATTGCATGTGAGAACAGGGGGCAGAAAGTCCTTTCATCTGACGACATTATGACTGGCATTTCTTAGACATCATTTGGATTTAAACTCAGTTGGATTTCAATTTTCAACCTTTCTCCTGCCAATTTCCAGCCAGCTGGTTGGGGTGCCTTGCCGTTTGGCTCCTCCCAGGCTAAATGCAGTATAGCCTTGTGTCAAGGAGCTCTGTGTTCAGGAATGAGGCAGATGACTGCCACTAGGAGCAGCAGGCAAGCCCTGTCCCCTCTCTGAGCCTCAGTTTCCTCACCCAGAAGGTAGAGGTAATAATACACATTGAGGGGAGCCTAATACGTGTAGCCATTTTTAAAAAGCACTACCTGGCTGGGATGGCACGTGCTGGGCTCTGCGCCCTCCATGGTCACCAGATCCTGGGTCAGAGCTCCTGCAGAGGCCTGGAACCCTGGGGGGAGCTCCCCACAGCCCCCAAGGCCACAGCTGCATCCATTAGGCCTGGGATCACCCTCCTGGCCCTCAGCTTCTGTCCTGCTTTGCATTTGTCTCCTGTCCCCTCTCATGGGGTCTCCTCCGCACCAGGCTCTGCTGAAGCAGCACTGTTGGCAGTTTTTAAAACAAGCTGATCACTTTGTCCCCTTCTTTCTGCCTTTCCTGCTGGTTTTGTTGATTTTAAACTCAGCCAGACATTTTGCTTTGTTTATTATCCTGGAATGAACACTCACCAAAAGCTCTTTAGTGAATCAACTAGTTTATGGATGTGTGTTTTAACTTTAACTTCTTCCCCTTCCTTGTTTTTTTTTTTTTTAATGAAAGGTCTGTGATCAGATGGTGAGCACATGGTTTTAGAATAGAAGGCAGCATTCTGCATGCCTTTCTGGCTCAGAAAGTGACCTCTTGGGACTTGGAGAAATTGGAAGACACACCCCCAGCTTTTGAGAGACAAAGGAATTTTGAGCAAACACAGCTACCTCTTATTTCTTGTGGGTTTCAAAAATCTTTATTCTTTTTGTTTTGTAGCCTGACATCGGTTTATATATCCTTGGTCCCCATCCCAATTACATCACTGGGTGTGGAACACAGTACATTTATTAATATTAATAATAATGGCTTCCAGTTTTTAAGTATTTACACTGTGTGGGGGACTGTGCTAAGAACCTTAACTACATTATTTTATGCTGCTAACAATCACCCTGTGAAGCAGAATGTCTGTAGCATGCTTTCCTATTTCCTCAGGGCCCTGAGGCCTAAGGTCATGTAATGGGAAGAAGTAGAAAGGGAATTTGAAGCTTGATTTTTCTCACCAGATGCTAGCACTGCAGTCCTTGCATGCCCAGGTTTTCTACTGAGGCATCAGCTCCTTCCCAGAGACCGTGCACTCAGAGTTCCCCACCTATTTGGCCCCTGCCCCCATTCTCAACAGAGTCACTGCATCAGGACAGCAGCCGATTGCTCCAGGGCATCTTACTGAATGCTGCTTGATGGCTTCCTACACGTCAGTGTCATCCTACCTCAGGATGTCCTGGGGACCCCTTAATGAGGGGGTGACCCCAGTCACCTGAGGGCCCCCCTTCTATAAACTCATCTTTCCCCTCACCTCCATTTTTCTCATGACTGAGGAGGGACTGACCTTTCAGCCTCCCCACCCGGAAGAAGGCTGATCCCTATTGAAAAGAAAACAAAAGCAGGTCTCAGGGCCCATTCTGTTTTCTGTGACTTGCTTACAGAGTTCTCAGCTCACCTTACCACAATTCTGAAAAGTTTATAAATGTCAGACAAAAACTGTGTAAAATAAAATCATCTGATCTGAGTCAAATGATGAGGGACTCGGGGAAATTCTCCCTTAGTCCAAACACAGATGATTCATGACAGGATTGTGGGCAGGCCTTGTCCACGTGGTGTCTGTGGGTTTTCATCAGCCTGGCTTTCAGAAAGCTCCTTTTATTCTGTGGCTGAAAAGTCAACCCATCCTCCCCTACCTCCCGAGCTCACCCCATTATCACTCTCTAAGAACACATTCCTCCTGGGGGTTGCAGATGCTTTTTCCCTCCAGATAAGAAATACATCAAGGTAAATGTGCACAATTTGAGAGGAGAGTTGACAGCCCCAAATACCAGCAAAATGTCATAGGACATTGAAAAAGTAATGGACTAGTCATAGTGGCTCAGGTGAAAGGACTTTGGCTCAGAATTCTATTACCTTTCATTGTATGGTGGGCATTTCCCATGTCCGTGTCTAATTCTCATGCATGGCAACCTTCTGTCTGTGGGTCTCTGCCTGTGGCCTGGCCAGCTGCATCCCCAAGAGAAAGCCAACACCCTCATGTTGAAGGGACACTTGGATGACCTTGTTAGGCTGTAAGGAAGGGAGGGGACGCAAATGAGAGGAACAGTGGTAGGTGCCTTCCTTTCCTTGTTGAAAAACAAAGGAGAAGGTCAAATCCTTCTTTGATCTTTGATGGTAACAAGAAGCATTGTCTTATGTTTCCAGGGAACTTCACTCCCTGGAAGGGTCATTTAGGAAAAGAAAAAACGTGCCTAGGTGAAAAGTTAGAAATTCCAAATCTTAAGTCTTCTCTTGTTATCAGGTTTCATTATTGTACAATAGGCCATTAGCATGCAGCTGGTTCCTACACTGCCGTATCAGAGATTTCCCATATCAGAGAAAGAACGGGTGCCCAAGACACTGATGCAGAGACCTCCATGCCGTGGAAGCGAATGAGAGGAGGGCCTGTTTATTTACACGTGGCTGCCTTCCATAAACAGGAAAGAAGGACTTGATTGCCTACAGCAGGAATAAAGAATTTAAAGAATAAGACAAATCTGGGCTCCTTATGGCCAAATCCCCAGCATAAGAAACTTTTTACCCAGTGACATTTCCAAAGCAGATTATTTTAGTAGGAATTAAAAATCTTCTTCTGGAGGCTTTGGCCCACCTTATCTTTTATGGAAGCTACTTGATTTTTCACAAGAGAGATTGGTTGTCAGAATAAAAGGGAATGTAACAATGGCAAGCTCTTTAACAGCACAAGAATACTTCACATTCAGTTCTAATATCTGTCTCTTTGCTTCTTGAAGGAAGGTCTCTGGTAAAAAGTGTTGTGGGCAGACCACATGGTTGCTTGGGGCTTCAGTTTCTCTGTCTATGGGTCACAGAATGGGATGGAGAAAGTCCCAGGATGACAAGAATTCTGGCCCCTTCCCCTGCTACCCACAGAATGGAATACCCGTCAGCCTGAAACTGAGTCACCTGCTCCTAAAACGTCCCACAAAGAAAAAGGGATTCTTAAATTTTGCTCTTGACACTACTACTCCCAATAGACATGAAGGTCAGTTTTCCTAGCCCAGAATTCAAAGTAAGATGAATTGATTTGGCTTTGTTTCCCAAGCATATGTGCAGCAGAGAGTCATCAAATGCATATTTTTGGATATCTTTTCAAGGAATTTTATGGGTCCCTTAAGCTTGGGGCTTGACCTCTGATTTCCTCTGAGAAAGCTAAAAGTCATAGTTAAATTTAAGAGAGTGTTTAAATTTTTCCTATTCCTTTGAAAACACTGCTATCATTTTGGATCAATTCTATGCTGGTTACTTTATTCGTCTGAGTGCCCCTTGTCTATAAAGTCTCAAAACACCTGTAGGAAATGCCGGCTTCTGATTACATTTGTAAGATTCCAACCCTGACCCCAAAGCTGTGATCATTCAAGATGCCAAATATACAGAATTCTTTACTAGACATCAGGAGAGCTGTCCACTCATATAAATCCTGATCCTTAAACAAAAGCCTCCTCGGGGAGTACAGATCAAAATACCACTCCAATGATGCAATTATTTGATTGAGCGAAACCAGACTTCACAATGAAGGGAACTTATTATAAAGGGCCACAAAATCTTCTGGAGTACTTTGGCCACTATCTTTTTCATAATCAGACAATCCGTAAGCAAGAGTTCACAGATCGCTCAACAAGGTGTCAGCCCCTGGACCATAACCTTGTGGTTATCCCTCCTCCTCAAAAGCATTCACTCAAATAGGATCCATGGTCTGACAGGGCAGATGCTGATGAGGACAAAGAGAAAACACACAGGAATCTACCTCCAGTTATCAGAGCAAGAGTTTGATCTGTTGATGGTTCTGGGAGATTTCAGCCTGCACGTCGTAGGGGTGGGTGGGAAAGTTACCCGGATTTATGAATTTCTTTCAAGGCGGGTTCCACTGACCACTTACTCACTCACTCATCCAAAGAGAGGGGAGCATTAATGTATCCAAGATTTTAACAGGAACATCTATCTCTCTCATGGTTGGCCATCTATCTGAAAGAAGTTTAAATGATGATCACCACCACACATCCCCTGCTATCGTGACCCTAACGAGAGCACCAGTGCTGCAGCTGTTAGGTTGACCTAAGGCTCTGGAGAGTCTGAATGGAAAGCCTTTGAGAGGAGGGCCCTGAAGCTTCTTGAGATTATCCTTAAAAAAAAAAAAAAAAAAAAAACCTTTGGAAACTTCTGTTGGTACAAACAAGTGAAGGAAGAGAGTTTTCATGTTGATGGTTGTAGAAATGCCAAAGAGACATAAGACCTCACAACTCAAATGTACGCCAAAGCCTCAGAGTCTGCAGCGTGAAGAGCTGTGTGCCACCACTGTCTCCAGCTTCTGGCATAGTGACAGGATGATAGCAGGAGCATAAGAAACATTTGCAAAATGTCAGAAAAAAAGTGTGACCCAAGAGGAGAGATGATTCTACTACCATGATCTTTATCCTGAAGCCCTGAGGGAAAAGATGCCAGAATTTTATCAAATCCTGAATCCACCTTTCATAATATAACCTTAAGGGCTTTGCATCATTTTTTTGAAAAGTTAGTACTTTAAAGTCATGAATTTTGAAATGATTATATTTAAGATCATATGTGCCAAGATTTTCAAACAATAAAAGCATCACTGGTATGGACTCTACAGGGTGGGCCTTCAGTAAACAATTGGGGGCCGAGTTCAAAGACCCAGTTGTCACTTTCATTTTCAATAGCCAGAAGCAGAAAACGCTATTCCCTTCCCAGAGTACTCTTGGACTTGGTACTAACTGGTGGTTACCAGCTTTTGGATTCTGTGCAGGTTGAAGTCTCTTTGTAGCAAGGAAATCTCTTTCAGGCTGGGGGCAGTGGCTCGTGCCTGTAATCCTGGCACTTCGAGACCAAACTGAGCAAGAATGAGAGTCTCTGAAAATAGCAGCCATCTATAGTCGCAGCTACTCAGGAGGCTAAAGCAAGAGAATCACTTGAGCCCAAGAGTTTGAGGTTGCCGTGAGCTGTTATTCTATGGCGCTCTACCAAGGTGACAAAGTGAGACTCTGTCTCAACAAAAAAAAAAAAGAAGAAGAAATCTCTTTCAATTTGTGGAGTCAGCAGAATTTGACATTTTGAATGTCTGTTCTTATCCTCTTTATCTCCTGAAAACTTACAATACTGATTATAACCTTAGGCTGCCTGGATTATGTCCTACCTGTGGTCTGGAGAAATTTGTAAGAATTTTTTAAAGGTATTATGTATATATTTGCATTTAACAGAGATCTTCATTATCATAGAGTTCTTAAAAACGGAATGGCATTAGAACAGAGAGATCTGTCTGACATCAGCCCTGGGCACTGGGGACACGATCCTGTAGAGTGGATATAATCTTTACTCAACACTAGAGTCATGATACCACCATTAAGAGACAATCAAGAAAGGTTTTCTCATCAGAGAACTTTCTCTAAGTGGATGCTGCACAGTGGTGTTACCATCTGGATCCCGATGATGGCATCTCATCCAGCCTAGCCATCCCTGGAAGAGAAACCTGGATGCAGTCTACCTCTTTGTAATTGGATTCAGAGTCATTACAAGAACTTATGATTAGGACTTTCCAGAACACTCTGCAGATCTGAAAGCCAAGAAAACCACCTGTGCCCGGAGACCCTATGTGTTCTTGCTGTTTGATAATATATCCTGGGAGATGATATCTAAGAAATTTTAGACCACTTCGCAAAATGAGGTGAATTAGCATTACTAAGACTAAAGTGACAGATGAACCAAGAATCAGCAAATCCCTCCCCTTAGCCAGAGATGTTTCCCAGACTGTTTTCCATGTGAGCTGTCCTTCTTTCTCATTGTCTGGCATTCCACAGCTTTGTTTATCCACTCCCACATAATAAGCCACGCTCCACATCCTCTTCCAAGATCCTTCTTAGACCCTCCTGTCTCATGGACCCCACAGCATCTGTAAGAATGAAGGGAAGTATGTAGGCCACGTTAAGTCTGTTCTCCCCAGTTTGCCACTTGGCTGTGCAGCCTCCAGGAGTGTATTTCATCTTGAAACAGAGACCACGTGGATTCCTGAAGTGAGAGTGGAGCCCCTCATCTACCAGTCTTTTAGGCTAATATATATTGATGAACAGCAACAATGTCTGTTCTGACCAGAGGACTGAAAAAATAAAAATTAGATTTGTTTACAGAGAGAGTAAGAATGTTCTTACAGTTTATAAAATGCGAGGGGTTCCAGATAAGGCCTGACCATTGCAGTCCAGGCCTGTCTGATGGGCTTTTGATTCATGTGTAAAACACAGCTGAGGACAGAGTGCAGCTCCTTCAGGAGACGGCCCTCTCCGCCTCTGTGGGCACATGCTAAGTGGAGGTGTAGGGAGACAGGGAAGGTGGAGCTCCCCAAATGACCATGACTCCAGCCTCGGTGGGGAAGGTGGAATGGCATTACTGATTTGTGCTGGGAATGAAGAGGCCTGCCCTGCTTTACACGCAGCCAGGCACCCACATGTATGTGCAGTGGGGTTTGTTTCAGAGCAGCCTTTGACACCAATCCTGACAAATAAGCAATACCTTAGATGGCTGAACAATTCAAGGCTTGGACACAACCCCTCCGTTGGAAGACAAAGCACACATCATTCTATCTCTGGAGTTAAGCACTGAGAAGTAGTCAGGTTTCCTTTTCTTATTCCTGGTTTTCACAGTGACATCCACTGCCCTGTGTCTCCCTTCTGTATAACTTGCACAAAGGAGGGAGGCATCTTAGAACACCAGGCATTCTGCATTCAAGCATATGTGGGCACATGTGTACATGGAAAATTCAAGAATGGTAAACAGATAATCTAGCAAATCTCGAATTGGGTTGATCAAAGATTCAACCCAATTCCCTAATGCATATCAGAGATCATTCATATTTTGCATATTTCTAAATTCCAGCTTCTTGGGAACACCTCCGCCCAGATGGGGTGCGCTTATTCTTGGTATGGCTGTTTCCCCTGTAGGGAGGGCGGATGCTGCTCTGAGTAGACAAGGGGCAAGTTCCAGTTCTCCATAAAGCTGGACAAGCCTGACGGAGCAGGAGTGTGGCCACTTTTGCAGGTTCCCATCCTCCCGTCTCCTGTTTGCTCCATCCATGTGTCTTCTTGTTTATATGGTCACGTTTCCACACACCTGGATCACAGAATGAGTTGAAGTTCCTTTTGGCCCTTCCTGGAGAATTGCTTGCTCTCCCTCCTTCTCTTTTGTGTCGTCCTGTCTTTGGTTTTATTTCCCCCACCGTGACAGAGGCCTGTCCCAAGCGTGAGACACAGCCCCCTTTGTCTTCCTAGCGTCTGGCATGGTTACATGGAAGGCAGTATTGCACTTACTCGAGCCTACCTTAAATGTCCTGTCTTTTATCTCCCAAGCTCACTATCTGGATAGGGTAGTTAAAGGTATGGTTTCCTTCCTCTATTTTCCTGTTGTCTTTGTGTGTGTGTTGTGTATGAGCATAAGAGAAGAAACGTGTATATAAAGATGTATATACACCCCATAAGCATGATGTCTAGACGCTGCTACAGCCCGGTTTTGTCACAGCACCCACTGCTGAAAGGGGATGTCCTTGGTCACAAGGTAGTTGATATACCTGGAGTATCCTTCTCCCTGCAAGTTGCTCAGACCTGTTTGTTACATTACCATTGGGCTGTTGTCCCCCGCACACATACATATGCCCTTCACCCTTTCCACCCCATCTCATGTCACCATACTCATTCCTTATGGCCCTAGCCCATCAGAATTAAGATCCTGGGAACCAGGGTGGATAGCCTAAGAAAGGAAGAGACCCAAGAGCAAAGTTTAGGAATCTTAAGCACTACATTCTATTGCTATTGCGTTCATTGATTTGGTAAGCACATAATAGAGCACCACCTGTGTACTAGGTACATGGGCCAGGCTCTGGAGACGAGGGGGAAAACAGACCCCTGGCCTCAGGGAGCAGATGGGGGGTTGGTTGGTTGGTTTGCTTGTTTTCCTTTTCAGAGAAGGCCCGACTTTGGTAAGTTTTATCTTTAAAGAGTGTTCCCTAAAGGCAAAGTAATTCCTTCCAATTTAAGCATTTACATTAATTAGATGGTGCCGAATTTTCCAAATAGGCCTCATTGCTCCAAGAATAAGTCTCAGAATGATTAGATATGTGTGCTTTGAAAAGACTCTATGCTCCTTGAGGAGAAATACCATGTCATACTCATCTTTTTATTCTCAGGCCCTGGTGAGAAATAGTTATGGACTCACACTCTGGAGCGCCTGGGCTTAACTCCCAACTCTAGCACTTGATGAACTGGGTGACCTCGGGCCGGTTGTTTAACCTCTCTTCACTCCAGTCTTTACCTGTGCAGTGAGGATGCTGGCAGGACTGCCCCCATTGGATTAGCATGAGGATAAAGTAGAATAATGAACATAAAATGCTTAGCATATGAGCAGGAGATCAGTAAATGTGACTTGTGCCATTTTATCATGTCCTTATTTACACTTATTTGGAGAAGGACTTTATTAGCGAACTTAATTTTTGAAACCGTAAAGGAAAAGGCTCAATTGGCTTTGTATAATAGATGACAACTGCTGTTTTAAAAAAACTTATGGGAAAGGTTTAAAGGAAACCTAAGTGACTAAATGCTTTTCAGCTGGAACAACATTGCCCAAAAGAACAAAGGTGTTGCTAGGGCCCACTGGGTGGGTGAGAAGCAATGGTCTTCACGTTTCCCATGCTGCTCCTCAGCTGAGAATAGTCATTCCAGAGAGGAAACCTAGGACCTCTCAGCCTGTTTAAAACAGGTGTTTCACACATTATCTGCAAAATCTTCAGGATGGACTAAATTTAATTATGGTACCATCTAGTCGATGAAATTCTTCCCTACTGTGTAAAGTTTTATCATATCCATGAGTCTTAAATGAGTCCTGTGATTTTTTTTTAAGGAAAAAGATACAGTTACACTCATTTGGTTGAAAAAGGAAACAAGCTGAGGGTGGGTAGTGGCTCATCCTGGGTCACACTTCCAGAGACTTTCAATTTCCTAGTCTGTCCATGTTTCTAACATTCCACCTTCTGTCACTATAAGTCACCAAGAATGTCCCAAAATTTCCAATTTTTTTCCTCCAAAACACATCTTCCAAACTGACACCCTCTCTGGGAAGTGGCCTATATTCTGTCTCAAACCACATGTTCTGATCTTTAGTTCAGAAGATATCATCACCAGACCTTTGGTTGGATTAGGTCACTGAATCACAACTTGCTTTAAAAGATGAATGTTTCTTGGCAAAATCTAGGTCTGAACCAAGCCCTCATCTGGCTGACATTCTGGTATAATGGATACTGATTCTGTAAAAAGAATTCAGACACCTGTACCATACAAGCTCGGGACTTCTCAGAGGGGGAGTATTTTGTAGTTCAAAGACAAAAAAGCTTCTGTTCATTGTTTTTCTGTTTGGTAGAGACTCAAGAAACAACATTCACTCAACAAATAACACTGAACTCTTTTTAAGTGCCAGGAAATGTGGATACTGCACAACAGATATCTAGTCTGGGGGTACCTGCAGTGTACCAGAGAATACACTAAAACAAGTAATTCCAACAAAGTCTGATGAGGGTTATGATGGGGGAGGCCAAGAGCCACTTACCAAGGCGAGCTTCCCTTCCTAATTTGCTCAGGGGCCTTGTAGATTGTGCAATTGAACATGAGGGTAGAAGAGACCCACCGAAGGTTTTTAAAAGCAGGAAAATGATTTGATCACGTTTGGATTTGGAAGAATCAATTTGGCCGTGTTGTGAAAGAAGAGTCGAGGGGAAGTATTGAGGACAAGAAGACCAATTAGCACACTATCGCTGTCATCTAGGTAAGAGGTGATGATGGCTTTGTCTAGGGAAGTGAATGTAGTAATGAAAAAGTACAAGAGAACCAGAAGAGAAACAAAGAAACAGGGCGTTTGTTATATGGTAGGCTTGGTGCGTAGTCTCCTTGCCACTTAACTAAAAGATAAATACATTCAAGGGTTCTAGAAGTCTCCTCGTCACACCTGATGCTGGCTACAAGGGGGGATTCTACATAGGCTTAAGTAGAAGGTTGATAATGATGCAGTCCCTTGTCATTTAAAGGGCATTGTTTCTTTCAAAAAGCTTCACCCTACTCTAAACCTTAAAATTACGTTATTTTGGCTATAGCAAATGACTGGGATGATTCTTCCAGAGGGGATTGTTAATGTCACTTGAGCTCTCTGAATTATTGATGAGTTTCGGGGTTTGTGGAATTAATCAGCCTCAGCAGTGGGTACGGATGGGCATATTGCTTTGAGACAATCAGCAAGTTACCCCAAAGGAGGCTTCCTCCGGCTGGCTAATGGGAGTGTAAGTATCTTAGAAGGAAACTGCGAGATGAGAGCAAACCTCATTCCTCCCACAGGTACTCAAAGTCCCCCTGAAACAGATAGGACAGGCAGAGCTTCAGGGTATAACTTGGTCCACCTGAAGCAACTGACTGTGGGTAAAGTGTCCCTGTGATTCCAAAACTAGAGGTGACCTTTCCTGAAAATACCTGCTGCTTCATGCAACTTCAGAGCATCACAGAATGCGTGCACAAAAGATGCCATGTGCCCACAGGCGCTCACTAGAGCAGGGCTTCCCAAAGGGGGTTTCAAGGAATGGAATATACAAGGCTTGTTGGAGGGAGGGGGAGATTTCTAAGGTCAAATTGGAAAATGCTCTAGTAAAGCAGATTCCTTTATTATAAAAATTTTCAGATCCTTTAATGTATTGATACTCAGGATGACTGTCTAGAATAAAAGTATGGTATGCAATGTTAGGAATAGTATTTCACAAAGTTCACTTTGGGAAGCGTTGTTTGAGATTAAAGACCCATTTTAAGTTCTTCCTGGAAGAAAATGAGGTATAGATAAATAGAATATAAAATTATTGAGGGCAGGGGATATATCTCAACTCTGTTTACCCCAGAATTAACACAAGATCTGGCATATATAGCAGGCCCCGAGTACGGTCTATTGAGTTTAAGAACAGAATCATAAATTTGAAATTGTTTAGACTTTCTCTATTGGGTTGGTTTTATGCTGGAGGGACCTAATGGATCATCTCATCTAAGCCTTTATTTTATAATTGAGAAAATTGAGGCCACGAGAAAGTAGCTTCCCCAACTTCCCTGCAAGTTAGACCAGAAGTACCAGACCTTAGGTGTCTTAGTTCATTTATTGATTCATTTCAACAAATATATATTGAGTGCCTGCTATGTGCAGGCACTGGGTGAGCCCCAAGGCTCATTCATCACTTAAGTGTTCTCAGGACAATTGCTACTGAGAAGCAAATGGAAATGGTGGCATGCACAGGGACTCATGGCCTTGAACTCATCACATCAGCTCCTACCACACTGCATGTGGACCCCATGACCCCATGAGACAAATACTGGGCTTGTCTCAGCCCTCTTTGGCAAGGTTGTATTTATGAGAACCATAGCTTTTGACCCAAAGCTTTTGGACTGGCAAAGGTTTTCTTGGTTGTGAATTTCTGAATGAACTTACACAAAACTAAAACAAATAAATCCAACAGCTATTGTTTAATCCTCTCAACAACTCTTTGAATTAGGTATTATCTCCATTTTACAGATGAGAAAAAAACTGAAACTTAGAGTTCAATAATTTGCCAATTATTACACAAGGCAATAAGTAAAATGGTGGTGCTGGGATTTGAACTGAGATTTGTCCAATTCCAAAGTCCTTGCTCTATTATAACACATGGTTTTCATTAAAAAATTATGATTAAGGACTTCCCTAGAAAATCAGGATCTGAAGCTGTTAACAAGTTACTTATTTTAGAAATAATCTTTGTAAAGTGCCTAACACAGTGGCGAGCCACAGTAGACTCTCAGCATCTGGCAATTGTCATTGTTGTCACTGTTCTGAAACATCTAAACTAGAGCTTGGCAAATTACAGCCCAAGGACCAAACCCAGCCCCTCGTCTATTTTTATAAATCAAATTTTATTGGAACACAGTCATATGTATTCATTAACAAATTATATATGGCTGCTTTCAAGCTACATAGCAGAGTCGAGTAACTGCAGCAGAGACCATATGGCCCACAGGACCAAAGCCTCTGGGCCTTTACAGAGCAAGCTTGAGGACTCTGATCTAGATAACCACCTCAGTTTACCACTTTGCCTTTCTGGGAGCCCTACCTGAGTTTATGGGCACCATGATATTACATGCCGTCTGTCCAAAATAGAGAGAGGGTGAAGGTGAGCGGTCGATTCACATTCTGTGTTCGAGTTGTATGCCAGGCTTTGTGCATCCAACATGCATGATTTTCTTTAACCTTCATTTTACAAGTAAAAAGACTGAGGCTCAAAGAAATTAAATAATATGGCTGAGTAATACAGCCACTGAGTGCTACAGCTAACCTTCAATGTGGCTCTCAAGCCTGTGCTCTTAGAAAGACATATTTTTTTGCATATTACAGGAGACTACCATTCTTTAAGATTGGAACACTTTCTCCAAATACAAATGAGGCTTAATTAAAACAAGTCTCAGCCTTATAGACAAAAATTGAATTTTTAAAAATATAAACAGAGGTCTCCCTATTGCCTGGGCTGCTGGTCTGTCCTCAAACCCCTGGCCTCAAGTGATCCTCCCGCCTCAGCCTCCAAAGTTCTGGGACTACCACACCCAGACATGTGGACGAGAATTGAAATAACACTAATTGGGGGAAGGAGTAGGCTGTAATTGCCTAGATCACCAGGAGTGGCTAATGTTGGCTACGAGTCAGAATGTCTGGGTAGTCACCTGCACATCACAGCACTGTTCCTGGGGTCGGCTTTTACCACTTCCTTCTCAGTTACTTTTAGGGGCAGATGTGATGGTAGCTTTACATCATTCCCAAAAGGCTTCTGCTGTGCAAAGACCACATTGTCTACACATGCTACTAAACTTCTCGAGGACCCCTCCTAGACTTGGAGTACACACTTGATCAGTGTTTCTTCCTTTGAATGGAAAACACAGTAGCCAGACTGATTTGATTGTTGGCCACGTTCATCTCAAGTAAAAATAAACATATTCTTTTCTTTCACTTTAGAATGACAGTCAACTACCAAAAGTCCTTGAAGCACTAAAGTTTTAGATTCTGGTAGATCAGCCATTTAGTGGGTGCCCACCTTGGGCCAGGTCTTACACTAGACAGCCACTTTCACATTTGTTTTCCCACTTCAGAATGAGTCAAGTTCCCATTATTTCATAGCAGAAAATCCAGTTGGCAGCGGTTTGTTGGGAAAACCAAGTGGCAAAATAGAAGCTGAAACAAACCACGTAGCTTAACATATTCTCAGACATAGATTTCTGAGCCACAGATTCGGGGGTGTTGAAAGGGAGGTAACCAAAAACCATGTGTCTACTTGAATAGCCATAAAAACTTCCAACCTTATTATGTGGTCAAGGCAGAGCCAGCACAGAATCTAAGTGTTGCCTGATCCTTCTTGATTACGTCATCCAGGGCCCTCTCAGATGGCCACCTGTGTGTTAGGTTCCAATCGTATTTTGTGCACCTCCTTGAGGGCACTGGAATTTTTTGTTATACAAACTTATCTCCTTTAGTAGTCTTCACGCTCCTCAAGAATCAGAATGGGTTTTATTCATTTCTGTGTCTCTAGTGCTGGCTCAGAGAAGGTGCTTCATCAGTGACAGACAGGCAGATATGTGTGCAGGTGAGTGTAAGGGGAGTGGAGCAGCCTGCGGTCCCTGCCCCGCACTGGGAGGCAGAACTCATCAGTCTCTTGGGGGACAGTCACTGGGACTCCTCTGCATGCAGAACCCTCTTCTAAGTGTAGTGTAGACAATTTGATAAGAAAAGGGCTTCAGTCCTCTTCCTCAAAGCAAAGACCGTTGTTTAGGGGAAAATAAGATAAGATAAATGAAATGCCTGAGGTCCAATAAAAAATTAACCTGGCCCCAAGAGTTGGATAAAGCACAGCCCTTTAGAATGACACCCAGAAGTGCTAAGGGACAGTGGGAGTAAACAGAGAGATGTTTCCTTTGTTCCAAACAGTTGCCAGAAACTAGAGAAATACACAACGATGAATAAGGAGCAAGCATCAGGCAAACAGCTCTCCGCGCAGATTCTGACAGGCCTCCATCCACTCACTCCAGCTCTAGGATCCAGACTGAAAGAAGGGGTTTTAGATGCAAGAAAGGATGAGTTTGGGGCCAATTCCTGTCCCATCTGACTGTGTGGCTTGGTTAAGTCCTTTTACCGCTCTGAGCCTCAGTTGCCTTCTCTGTAAACAGCAATTCCAGATGACATCTGCTGAGGGCATCACTGTGGTGAAGGCATTTTGAGAGTTGGCAGGTGGAGTGTGTGCAATGGCATTTGGCTCTGGGAAGTCAGACCTTGACTCTGTGCACTTTCTCTTGCAGAGGGGTGCCCTGGGTTGTGCAACGGTAACGGCAGATGTACCTTGGACCTGAATGGGTGGCACTGCGTCTGCCAGCTGGGCTGGAGAGGAGCAGGCTGTGACACTTCTATGGAAACCGCCTGTGGTGACAGCAAAGACAATGATGGAGGTAGGACTGTGGTACCCACAGGCACAGTGTGGAGGGTGGGCATCCCTGAGTTAACAGGCCACTGGCACAGACACCAATTATCTAGTCAGGGGGCCTGCAGGGCACTCAGAGACTGTACATGTGGCCTAAGGAATGTGTGCGTGTGCATTTCACTAGTTCCAGTAAATTAACTCAAATTAACCACTGTAAATGAAATGAATTGCCATCTAGCCGCTGATATAGAGGAGAAGGCATATGGAAGAAGGAATTTTCAAACATTCAACAGTGGCGTGAGTCGGCTGGCAAAGTTATAGGTTCCCCTTGCTGGAGAGGCATCTAGTTCTGATCACAGGAGCTGCTAGGAACGCTTCTCCACAGGAGGGAGGTTGAGTTTCCTTTGGTCAAGGTCTTGTCTCCTCTGATTCTGGTGGAAACCATCACTAAACACACCAAGGGACACCTTTGCAATAGAATTTGCCTTTGCTTTGGAATTTCAAGTATTCTACGGTCAAAGCCCAAGGAAGAAGGGGCTAGTCTTGTGCAATATTGATTGGTTGAGAGACCTGAGTTTTAATTCTGACTCAGACTTTGACTCCCCGTGCATCCTTAGGTGAGCTGCGGGCCTCATATTCCCTATTTATAAAATGAGGCAGTTGGACCATAGAGACAATTTCAGTCATAAAATTAGTCATAGAGGGCTGGGCATGGTGATTCACACCTATAATCCTAGCACTCTGGGAGGCCAAGGTGGGTGGATTGCCTTGAGCTCACAGGTTCAAGACCAGCCCGAGCCAGAGAGAAACCTTGTCTCTCAAAAAAAAAAAAAATTAATTATAGAATTAGCCTTCACAAACACAACTGTAATTGCTCTACTTTCCCACCTTGAAGATGGATTGACGCTTCCTGATTCTACCAATCTCAGCAGTTATTAGAAGAATAAAATATATATATATATATATATAATTAAAAGAACCACTAACCCTTCCTTTCTAATGATGGCCTAACAGTTGGCCTTGTCAAATGTGTTTATGTGGCTCCCTTATATTTATACAAAGGACTTTCTAGTATACTACAAAGAGTCAGAGGTCAATAAGACAGAAACTCAGCATCACAACCTTTGGTAAATTTCTGCTTAAAGGGATTCTAAAATCTCAAAGCACCATAAGAACTAAAAGGCCAAATGATGGTAACTACCATAATTCCTTTGCCTTGAGCTGGCCCCAGTGGCCTACAGGGGGCTTTCAGTCCCTCCACCTCTGCCTAACCCCAGGAGATAAGTGGGCCTGATGCACCAGGCCCGGCCCATGGAAGTAATTGTAAGCAAGGAGCTCAGGGTTTGGCCACAGTTGCAGGGCTGGAGTTCCCCTTTATCAATGTGAAACTTGTGGAGTTCATTAATTTTTGTTCTCTATAAATATCCAGAGCTCTTTCTTTGGAATCAGGCCCTATCCAGTCATCGAGATGAGCAGTTTCTGTCCCTGTACTCCAGGAACTCAAATGAGGGAGAAAGATCCAAAGTTAAGTGCTAATGGACTGTGATAAGTGCTGCTGTGGAGTGATGTATTAGTTGTTGTGGGAGTAAAAAAACAGTCATCAGGAAGGTGGCACTTGCGTAGATAGGAGTTTCCTGGAAAGGAAAGGGATCTCCATTGAGAGACAACATCGTGGGCAAAGGCAGGCAAGTAAGGGAAGGGCATCAGACATCCCTGTCTTTGGGAAAGATGGATAAAGTGTGTTTATATTTGCTCTTCCTAGGAAAGAGGAGTCAGCCTAGGTTATCTGCACGATTTCTTTAGCGTCCTCCTTCTCTTTGCCTGTGTAGGCACCGTGCCAATGACTAACACTTGTGTTAACAGAAGACAAGGGAAGGAGCCACACCACAAAGTCATTCCCTTCTCAAGAGTCCAGGGTCTTAGCCAAAGCCTTCAAATAGCTATTGGACATCTGGGCATCAAAAGAACAGGATGTCATTGGGAAATCTGGGGGCATACCTCTCCCCCAGCCCAACTCACATATAAGAACAGGTAATACAACACAGCTCATTGATTCTCTCAGACGTAGCGTCATAGGAGTGTGTCCTCTGTCTACCATACTTCAAAGCCAGGCTCCCAGCACCTGGACTCACCAGTGTGTGCATGAGGCCCAAAGACCCACGGCTGGTGGGAGAAAGAGCTTCTTGTCATAAGAAATAGGGCTGATTCACACCCCCAGGGAACAGAGCCTCCTCCAGCTGCTCGACAGATGAGCCAGCAGGAAGTAGAAAAAAACAACCAGAAAATCTCCGATTGTAGAGAAATATACCTTTTGCATTTGGGAGCATATTGTGGACTGAAATGAGCTTGTGCATAGTTGATTTACTCACTTGCCAAGTGCTAACTGTGTGTCTTCACTGCATTGACCCTCTCTTGGGTACGGGGGCTTCTGAGATACGTAAGACACAGTCCCCATCCTTGTGCAATTCTCAGCTAAAGGGAGGGAGGAACAGCAGGTAAACGCAATGCAGTGAGATCACTGCTGTGATAAAGGAGCGTGCACTCATTCAGCCAGTGGTATTAGATGTCTGGTTCCCTGCAGGGAACTGATATCATTCCTGTCCCATGGGGCTTCCACTCCAGCCAGGAAGATCTCCCGTGGGTCATCGTGATTAGAAATACAACCAGCAGGGGAGGCCAGGTTGTTCAGGGTCTTTGTCCTTGGGTTCTGAGCTGTGAAATGAGGAAACGTCACACCTCGGAACCCCCTCGGTTTGGTGGGCTCTCCACCCATCGAGGAAGTCAAAGGAAAGTCAGAGGACCCCTGCTTTGCCATAGGGGGTGGACTGTCCCCAGCTTTCAGAAAGGCCAAGACTGCTCCTCACTGGCCTCTTTGTCACTCTGGGTCTTAACCAAACAGGGACAGTTTTAGTGGAGGGAGAAACAGCAGACTGCAAAGCGCGAGGGTGAGCTGCTTAGTGCTGAGCTGTTTCAGTCCACGCAAGCACACAGTCGGCCTCTGCTGAGGGACGTGAAGACCAGTGAACACAGCCCAGTCTTTCTCCCTCAGGAGGCTCACAGTCATTCGGAAAAAGATGTTGTCCAATGTCTATGTCCAATGGAAGCAGAATTAAGTAAGTGCCTTGAATTTAGACACGGACAGGATGCGGCATAACCCAGGAGGGTAATGCAGGGGAGGGAAGCAGGGCTAGAGTCCCACTGAGGGGCTGTTCTCGACGACTGTCACAGGGCTTGAGATGGAATCAACGGAGCCTGATATCGAGTGACAGGATTGGGCGGGCTGTCACAGGACATCCACTCCAGTTCCCTCACCTGCATGTTTACAGACCCAGAACCCAGGGAGGGGAGGTGACTGTGCATGGCTGGCGCAGTCACCCAGGAAGTCTTTACATGGCCTGGACTAGGACCCCAGACTCTTGAGCCAATCCACATGACCTTGTGAACCCAGAGTGCTACTGCCTTCTCCTCATGACTTCTCCCAGAAACTGGTGCGAGTGCTTGCTCAGACCCAGACAGGCTACAGCAGTCCCACAAAGCCTGCTAGAGTAGGTAGTGACTTGGATGTCGTTTTACGTTTGCAAAGCAATTGTGTATCCACTCACTGACACTGTGAGGTGTGTGGTATTGTTATATCCTTGCTGTCCCCTTAGGATAAGGAAATGGGGATTTACCAAGTATTTTTCCAGGTGACTCAGCTGGCCGGTGTTAGAAACTGCTGGAGTCTGTGAGGTCTGGCCCCATTAGAGCTTTCCTCTGTGCCCAGACCTCAGACATGCGGCTCTGCTGTAGATCACTGTGGCCCTTCAGGTTATCTGAGAACCCCCGGTTTCTCTTCTTTCCAAATTTGCTAGGCTTACCGCAGCCTTTTGAAGTTAAACTTGAATTTCAAGGTTCATTATGAATGCAGCAGCAGTGTTTTTAAACTGTGAGACCAAAAAAAAAAAAAAAGCTACACAGTATGTCTGAGTCGGAAGTAGCTTTATTGGTTGGTTTTTGTTTTCAGGTACGATTGTTGTCTAGATTTAAAGGCAAGAAAGAGATCCTGAAGGTGACTTGGTGACTGCCAGGCCCCTGCTACTGCTGGGGCTTCCCAACCCACCCAGATTTCATCCTGGGCACTGAGTGGGGACAGGGCCCAGTGGGAGGGCACTGGGACCCTGACATACATACTCAAGTGTGAAGCCCTCAGTGTGCCCCATTCCTACTGCACGCTTTGCAAAGCCCGTGATGAAGTATAGTCACGTTCATCTCATTTTATACTCGCTGATCCTCTCATGGAGATGTTCATTTCATGTCCATTTCAAAGATGGTAAGGCTGTGTCCCAAAGACACTAAGTGACTATTAGTTAAATGAGGATAGCAATGCTACCTCGCAGGGCCACTGCCAGGATTACGGGTTTATTTCAGGTTCCCACGAGGCAACACAGCACAGTGAGTATAGGATCTATGTCCAGATTGTCTGGGTTCAACTCCTGGCTCCCCCATTTGCTGACTGTGCGACCTTGAGTGAGTAACTCAACATCACTAAGACAGTTCCTCACCTGCAAATATCAGTGATCGCTCCTCTCCCATCCACCTGCCATCACAGGTGTACTTACTGAAGTATGGTCTTTATTGCAAAGGGTATATTCATATATAAATAATTACAGTAGATCATCTGTGAGATGACCACCCAAGGGACTGTAACTTACAAAGGTGGTCAACATAAGGAATTTTTGTTGAGTACATGGGGGGCATGTCTGGTCTATGAAAATTAGATCAACTTAAGGAGGTGGTCAGTGTAGGGAGGTGGTCAACTATGGAGGTTCTACTGTATTTTTACAAGTTGGAATTATGCCCTCTATAAAATTTCATATTCTACTTTCGTCATTTAAGGTTATGATGTATTTCTCCATGTAATAATGTGTTTTTACCTTTTTCATTTTCTTTATTAAAATCTGTGTCCCAGATTGTTACATGTTCATTGCTCAAATGAGAAGACTCCGAACGTACATAAAGGAGAACAGTAGCCACCAATGAGAGCATTCC